TTTTTTGATCTTCACTGTGCCAGTAACCAATGAGGTTCATCAAGTATCTGATTCTTTGTCCTCCAAGCGGCTTTGTGTTGAGGTCTGCCATGTTGCTATCTCTTGGTACGTGTACCATCTTGAAATGTTTCCTGTTCTGAACCCATAGCAACGTTCCACCTAAATGTCTCACTTTTCCGACTCCTCTCTTCATCACAAGTTGGCGTGCACTCGATGAATATGTGAAAATGTAATGGTCCACCCAGAGCAAATTCCAGAACTGCTCGAATGTAGAGTCCACCTGATGCTGAGGAAACTATTGCGCGTAGTTCTGCTTCACATGAAGATAAGCTAATGATCTTCTGTGTCCTGCTGCTGCTCAACAATGCACAACTGTTCAATGCATAGAACAGTCTGAATCTGGGAATGTCTCCAAGCACCAATAGCTTTCTCCTTTCTTGGCGAAATTCAAGAACTAGACAATAGTCTAAATTAATGCTTTCTCACGACCGTTCGTTCACAAATGACATCTGCCATTGGAAGCGTCACAATCTCGGCTTGAATGCCTGAGAGCACTCCGTCCGCGAACCTTTTTTTGTCCTTTGGCAGCAAGACTGCCACCCCACTTATCTGATGCACTTTACACCTTTGTCATAACCTCAGAGTCACTTGGCCTCACATGACCTCAAAAGCAGTCTTACATGGCTGCGCACATCAGCTCTCTTGATTTCGGTTAGACCCTCAGTCGAACCTCGAGAGGGAGTCTGAGATGTTTGACGGCGATGGCACTCTCATGTACCACGGGCTGCAGTTTAGATTAGGCTCCAATGTGAGCAAATGTTCCAGCAAGGCACCAACAACACCGCCTCTTGTTCGGGCGGAAATGGCAATGTCCCTAACGCCGTTGTTGTCTATGCAAACATTCAGGGGCCTGTTTTTAACTGAGGTTGCCCAGCGTTTGTACGCAATCACTACAGCTAATAGTTCCAGCTCATTGATAGGCCGTGCGAAAAGAATTCGATGGGCTCGCCTCCTTCCGAAATCAAAACACCACCGATGCCTGCTGGCCAGCTTTTATTGGAAGGATCGAAACAGGCGTCCGTGAAGACGTACAGTGGCCTCGCAATGCGTCGTTCAAGGACCCTTGGCTTGCTCTCTCTCAAGTATCTTCGAATTGCGGTTGAGGCGCCGGGGTCTAACTTGTGCCTCCCTACCACACAAAGTCTGGAAATCTCATTCAAACAAAGCTTGCTTACCCTGCCGTGCATTTGACCTTGTGCGAACTGAAGCTTTCCCCGGATGACCTGGCTATCCTTATGGTCAATCAACTTTTTGGACAAGGTCTGCTCAAGCATCGAGCATCGCGAGCAAGTCAGCTCTGCGCTTCTCAGTGTTGGCGAAAAGCACGCGGCCCGACGCGAACTCTTCCAACCTGATTTCAACTCCAAGGGCTTTGACTTGGTGGCCAAAACTACAGCTCTTGTCTCCATCAACATCAACATCATACTGCCATCCCAGCAGTTTAAGAAGAGAGTCAACGACGAAGTCAGTACTCTTGGCAACCGTGCTTTTTGAGAACACTACAAAGTCATCGTAGAAACAACTCCATGGTAGATGAAGGCCTTTAGCCCCGATAGGAAGGCAAAAACGGACCGTGTTGCTCCGAGGGGAACGGCCGGCAGTTTGAACACCTCAGCGCGTTTGGTCCTAGGGTTGAAGCAAGAGACAAAAGAGTCACGAAGGGCTACAGCGGACAGGCCTAGTTTTTTGTAGGCGCTTTTAAGGTCACGTGACCGACCTACCAAGTCGAAAGGCTCACACTGTTGCATGAGCGCCATCAGAATCGCCCCAATGACATCTGTTCCTTGTGGCTTTGGAGACTCACCTGCTTGGACCGTTGAGTTATGGCCTCCAACTGTCAAGTCATCGATGAGCCTAACCTTAGCACCTTGCTGAAGCCAAATCTATGGCCAACTAAGCTGCCTGAGAGCACACTGTCAATAGACAAACAACCTTCAGCCCAGCCTTTGGAGACCTCGGCGAGGGTCTTGTTGTAGACCTCAGTGTCAAGCAGCCACTGGATTTGGTGCGTTTCAAGACTTTCCTAAATAGAGCGCTGGACACTTCTCTCATCTGGCTGATGGTACAAGAGGCTGGCCGAAAACTCTCTCGGTAAACACCCGTTAATTCCACTTCTCCAAGAATGTCCACACCTCGAGCTACCTCGTTCACCACAGCTACATCGTCGTACTCTAAGTCTATCAACATCTCTTTCCAGAGTTGAATTCTTTTTGGAGACAAAATTCTACTAAGGTGAGCTGGCATGCTACTTTTGAGGTTAGCTTCAATGGCACGAAGTTCCGGGTGACAAGATCTAGAAGACCATTTCTTGATCCAAGCTAGTCTTGATGAGATCAAGTCACAATCGGAGGTTTTAGCCAAAAATGCGATAGCTTCCTGCAAGACTTCAGGTAAGAAGCTTTGTACTAGCTTAGGGCGTCTATTTGACCACTTGCTCTACAAATTGATCTGGCGTCCATGGAATTCCCCACGCTTGCTCTTCCCAGGGCCGATCTGCTGTCCAACAGGCAGGAGGCAAGCGTTGAGCATCCCCGCTACTTTTGCTCTTCTTACTACCCCCTTGTGATGTAAAGCGGTGCAGAACGAAGGAGTTGGGCATCTTTCGGAAGAGTACAGAGGGTGCATTGCACAGTTGGTGGGACTGGCTAGGCTGTCTCGAGACGTTGCATAGGTTGAATGCGGCGGAGGCCCGTGGCGGGGCCTCAAATCATGACACATGAAGCATGTTCAGGCACAGCATGACCAAACCTGGAGACTTTGGGCTGGTGATTTGTCACTGCTTTGAGCACGGCTGCGTTTTCCAGCAGGCGGTCAACTTGTAGCGGCGAACGATTTGGAGCCCAGCCTAGCTTGATGAGTTCGTCCACAAAACAGCTCGCTATGTCAAGTGCCAACTTGGGGGGGACAGCTGTTTCCATAGACGTAGCGAAACGGGATCGACCCTAGTGTTTCACGAAGCCGCAAGGCTCATGCACATGCGTGGAACTCTGACCAAGGCAAAGTTTACAAAGCTTGGCAAAACCGGCTTGTTGTGCGCAATGGCTGTGTATGTCGGGCGTTTGCTTTGGTAGGCGCAAGCTTGGTGGCAAATGTAATTAAAGGCTTTAGCATGGCGCTTCCAATACTTGGTTCTCCAATAAAGGCTGAGTCTGGGATGTTCTATTGAAATCATCAAGTTGCGTTCCAGCGCAATGCCGATAGCCTGTTCCAAGAATGCATAGACCTGATTTGCTTGTTGGGCCCGAAGCAAGTCCATCCTCCCGGAGATTCCACAGACCTTCAGGCTGAGTGCGAGACCTCAACGGCTTTGGCCCACGGCCACGCAAACCTTGTCGCTTCACTGGAAGCGTGCTGGCAAGAGAACATGTTTCACGTGGTGGTGCTGCGTGAAGGCCTTGCTGTGCTGGTGGTGCTGCTGGTAATGCACCTGCCTCTGCTGGAGATGTTTGGCTAAAGGCTTCAGAAGCTGCCTTTGGTGCAATTGCTGGGGCCTCTGGCTGTGCTGGTGGTGCTGCTTTGCTGGATGATGATGATGCTTTCTCAGCAAACCTCCTAGCAAAAGAAGCTGGCCTTGGCTTGTTTGGCTTTCCCTTTGGCCTGCCCTTGGGCTTTGGCAAGGGCATGTTGTGCTTCATGGCAGCAGCCCTTTGCCTTTTCAATTTGTTTTTTCTGGCCTTTTCAAAGTCTTGTAAGTCACTTGTGTTGTAGTTGTCATCCTTGTGACACTCCAAGATCTCCTCCATCTCACTGTCAAGCTCTTGTTCAAGCTTGTTGGCCTGACCCTCTTGCTGTTCCTGATAAGCGTGGGTGGCCTGTTGAGTCTTGTCCTGGTCACTCCCCAAGACTACAGTGAACAAAAAAGTGACCAGTTGCTTTGCAGAAAGGTTGGCTGGAACTTGGGCACCCAAGCTCCAAAGCAATTTCCTGATGTGCCCAGCTGTGAGGTAGACACCATTGAGGCACAAGGCCTCAAGCAAGGAGCATGCTTGGCCTGATTGTTTGAATGCCAAAGGCCCACTGTTGGAAAGCAGTACCAACTCACATGGGGCATTGATCCACTCATGCAAGTCCCAAATGGTGTGCCACTGGATGGCAGTGCAGGCCAGCTGGCACAAGAAGCACCTGGGCTGGGCTGGGCTGGCAAACTCAAAAACCACCTGGTGACAAATATTTTTTTTTAATAGAAACTCACATAAACATTCACACTTAGGGAGTAATGAATAACAATAGTTAAAACACCAAATTGGTTGGTAAAGAACCTGCACCCTTCAGGATCAATGCGAACATCCAGTGTCCAGCCCAAAAAGCAAAACTCTGAATTGGCAACCACCCACATCAATTGGCCACTGGTTGAATGAGCCATCACACTTCCAGGCTGGCCACAAAGCAAGGACAGCCAGGCACTGTCAAACTCTTCATTACTCATCCCTTCAAACTGGGTGAAAAGGAAGTGGGTAGAGGCTACCCCCTGATACATGCTGGCAGGGGTTGGGCTGGGCCAACTATGTGAGCCCCTGTTGGGCAGCATCATCACATGGAAATCTTTTTCCAGGTACTATCTTGTGTTTGAAAGCACCAAGCTTGTCCCTGGTCCAAATGCCAGAGGATAATTTCTCATGTGTTGGGACAGGTATGGCCTGGACCTTTCTTTGCTTGAGTGCTGGTGAATGGATCACTGCATCCATTCTACTGGTAACTGCCCTTTGGAAATGCCTGCTAGAGCGCAGAATGTCCTTGGCAGTCTGATGAGTGCACTCAATGACTCTAGAGTCTCGCAAGTGCTGTGTGAATAAGAGCATCAAATCATGGCCTTCTGAACCAGGAGCAGAGCCACCCCTCTCCAATGCCATGAATACCTGCGGTTGGAAAACCATGAGCATTCAATGAAGGTGTTTAAACTATAGCAGCCAGGATGAACACAAAACAAAATCAACCATAGAAAAATTAAATAACACCTTCTTAATGGCCACACTGAGCCACCACTCTGTTGAATGCACTCAGCCAGTGGCCTGCCATTGGCCCAGTGCTGCACAGGGTACACCACCTGCTGCTGCCAACTCTACCTTGAGCAAGGTGCGCCAATCTGCCATACACTGATCATTGGCCTTCTTTCTCTCAAGAGCATTTTAACGACCATTGCAGCATACTTGGCTGGTGGTGAGCAGTACTCAGTGACCAAGGACTTTGCCCTGTTTGAGATGAGATGGGTAAAGTAGTCCAGGAGCCAAAGCTTCACATTGGCCTCTTCAACCACATGAGTCTCCCTGAAAAGGAACTGTATATTCTCATGGTCAAAGAAGACATCCTTGGCACAGTCCACCTTGGCTGCTGTGAAAAACATAATGCATTGAACTATAACTCATGCTGGCTTACCTGTGGCCCGCCCAATTTGAGTCAGTTAATCAAAAAGTGTTAGTACCCTAGGCAAGGTACAAGCTCCATTGCCCAGCCATTGTTTGCGACAGACCTCACAGTGTGCTCCCTGAGTTAGCAGCTCTCTGGCGTCCTCACTGTGGTGATTGCAAGCTGACTGAGTGACAATGCAAACAATGTCCTTTTGCTGGATGTATTTAGGTGTCAGCAACTTTGGAGCCAAGTTGAATGTCCCCTGAGACTTTTTGAAGTAGTTCAACTCCTGCCTCAAATCCTTCTCCTTGGCTGCCTGTGTTTGCTGAACAGGCAATGCTGGAGCACCATCAGTAGCTTGTAGCTGCAACATGTTCTCAATTTCACAGTTCCTCAGCAAAACCATCTTGGAAGACATGAGGTCTCCCTTGTAGTACTTGGCACACTGGAAAAACTCAGCCACCGCATCAACTTGACCAGGGGGGCCTTTGTTTGTCCAGTGAGGTGCATCAACAACTCTTTGCCGCAAGGCTTGAATGTCCTCATCAAAGACGGGCTCTGGCAACCCCAACTCCCAAGAAATCATAGGAATGAAGGATGTAAAACAATAGGAACCAAAGGACATTCCAGCACCGATGGAAGCTGTCCCATTGAGCAGATATCATGCATTGATGTTGGCTGTAGGCCAAGAAATGGAGACATGATCTGTTGACTGCCCCCTGGTCTGAGACAGAAATGAGAGCTGGAATCTTGTTGAGCTGCATGTTGACTGGCACTTCTCTCTGAAACCCCTTGGTTTGCACATTGTAGATGAACCAGCCCTTGGCATCATAATCAGAGTGCCAAACAAAAAAATCATGGGAAACCCGAGCATAATGACTAAACTGAACCAGAAGCAGAAAAAAATCAAACAAAGCTTCCTGGCATTAGATTCATGGCAAGTCTCATTGCCATGTTTGATTCTCAGTTCATTCTGCTTCAAAGGCCTGGCCAACAGATCCTGTGCTACTCTCAGCTGTTCCAAAGACAGCCCAATGCTGCTCAAAGCATGTGATAGAGCCCTGGCCCCATTGAAAGAGTCAATCCTTGCCAGTTTGCCCTCTTGGCCCAAGGCTTGATAATCAGGGTCCAGCTGTGATACCAATGGCCTCTTCATGTCTTGTATTGGCAAGTATGCAGCAACACCCAACTAATGAGAGTAAATGGTGCCCACAAATGTTTGGGCACCACCATAATCTGCAGGATCCCAACCTTGACAGCCCAAAAATAGACATGTCAGTCAGGGCCTGACCTCAACAAATGTCAACCAATAAAGAGGCCAATGCCAACAAACAAAAACAAACAAAGCAAAACATGTTTCAATGAAGCCAATGCCAAATGACTCACTTGGATCTGCTTGCACTCTGAGAAGACAGCAGTCACATGCTCTGTGTACAATTGGCTGTTGTAGAATGCTTCCTCTTGCATCATTCCCAGGTTGCTAGGTACCAAGTCAGTATGTGTTGAAGCAATAGCAGCTCTGTGCAGCCTCCTTTTTTTCCATTCTATCCAGCAGCAACATCCCGTTCACTGCATCCAAGCCTTTTGGTCTGATGCCCTTGTGCTGATGCATAGGGGCTGCTGATGGTTTCTGTGCACTGAGTTTCTCCAGCCAAGCGTCCAAAAGAAGGCCACAGGTGTTGAGTATCTCAGGGAGCCAAAATTCACCAAGCTTGTGCCACAACTTGTATTTGGCTTGGTGGCACCATATCCAGCCCAGAAAAAGCATAACATCTGCCAGTTTGGCAGCAAACAAGGGTGAAGAAATGGTGTAGCCAAACCATCCACTGGAGGACAGCTCCTTCTAAATCTTCTCCACCATCCTGGCTGCAGTGGTTGGTGGAGGGTGGGTTCTGGCAGTTGACCTAAAGCAACAGCCAAACAAGCATTAGCAAAACAATTAGACTAAAATGTCACATGGTATTGTAAAAAAGAAATGCAAAGCAAAACCTGAGCTGCGGCAAGTGAAGAGATGCTTGGTACAAGGCCCTTGTGGTACCAGAGCTGGTGAGGGCCAGGTCCACAGGCCAGTGGTCTGCAGAATCATGAGGACCATTGAAGGGCAAGGTTGCATGCAACTGGGGAACAAACTCACCCATGGTCTGTAAGGCACCCAAAAGCAAACCATGCATCAGCAGAAAGCTTGTGTTTTGCATTTCGTTGGCAATCTTTTCCTTTTGCCCATTGACAGCAAAACTAGAAGCAATGCTCTGCTGCTCATGGTTGTGCCCCATTTGAAATCAGCATGCTCACTGCCCATGTGCAAGTGATCCCTGGCACCATGCACTCCACCAAGTAGCCCAAAATGCCAACTCTGTTTTCCTTCACCCACTGGTACACTAGCCCAGGCAAATCACAGTAGGCAGTAGGTATAGGCCCCATACCACACCCACTGCCAGCATTGGTGTTTGAAGAAAGCTCTCAAGCACCAGCCTGTCCCTCTAACAGTGGCAACTGGGTATGGGAATGTAATGTAGTCATCAGGATCATCAACAGCATCCTCATGGGCTGCAGGCTCAGGGTCATCCATTGCCATTGAGCGTGGCAGGGCAAGCAATGTTCACAATAATCAATAGACCTTGCAATTAAGTTGAAGTGTGTGTGTGTGTGAGTTACTAAGTCAGGTTGTGTAAAAAAACATACTAAAATGTAAATATACAGTCATTGCTGGTACATACCTACTTGTTTGCTAGGTTCAATGTAGTGCTTGTGCTTGCATCAATATGTGTAATGCATGCTGGTTTATGAGTAAAACATTGTAGACCAAACCCTTGAGCCCTTGTGGGTTAGAGGTGTTCCATTGGTGCTTGAGCGCCCTCACCCAACTTGACCCAACCCCCAAACAAAAGATCACCAGGTGTGTCACCAGGGTCACCAGCCCACTGACCTATTAGACACCCTTGTCAATCCTGGCTGACAGACAGAGTTGGCAGCCACTTCTGTTTGTCTGGACATGCCCTGCTGTGTCTGTGTGAATCTGCAGCCCTGGTCTGTGCACACTCACTGCCCAGCCAGCAGCAAAATCTGGGCAGATGGCTGCAACAGCTATTGAAACAACTCCACTCCTCAGTCTGCAAAATAAATGGCTGATGATGGTGGTAAGTACAATACTCTTCAAAATGGCCAAGCAGTGTCAATCTTTCTACCATCAGAAGATGAGGAGGATGTGTCATTCTCATCTTCCTCACACACCTCATGCCTGGTCTTCTTGGTCTTCTTGTGTACCCTGCATGATAGTGCAGGGGCATCAGAAGGTGGTGGCCTGGAGAGCTTCACTAGGCTGGTAACCGGCCCATCATATGTGTCACTTGTGGTGTCAAAGTGAGGAGCCTCACCAGGTGATGTGTTACCCCTTTGGCTTGTTGAAGTAGCGCTCAACCCCAGGGCCTTTTCCATAGGTGACACTGCCCTGCTGTTTGCCTTTCACACCCTTGCCCATCACATTGCTGCCCTCCTTTGGAGGGATGCAAAAGCTCTCCCCACCATGAAACCTCCACTTTGTCAGTGTTCAAAAGTCTCATTTCTTCCTCAGTCTGGGGCTGGAAATCCTTGAAGGAGTACATGGCACCCTCAGCAAAGACCCAGGCATAGCTAACAATAGAGCTGTGCTGAAGCTGCATCCGGCCTTCAGCATCAATAGAGTTCTCTGGCATCATGTCATCTGGTGGGGTGTTGACAATGTTGGTGTAGTCCCTGCCCAGTGCTGGTGCTGTAAAATGATAATAAACATGACATAATGTTTGTTTGGGGTTTATTTATTTGCCTTTGAAATAAGCTAATTGCTATGACCTTAATCAAGAGTGTGTGTGTGTATGTGTGTTGTCATATGGTTGCCCTGGCCTCAACCACCAGTGGCTCCATCCTGAGTTGTAGATCTTGCCAATGGCACATATATGTGAACCAGCAAACCATTTGAACTCCTTCCTGATCTCAAAGTCATCTACTGCAATCCAGAAGACACCACCATCTTCCTGGATGGTGGTTGATGAACCTCCCCACCCTACACCCCAGTCACACAACCAAAGATCAAAATGGGTACAGTAAAGCCCCCTTGTTTGGCAAAGGCAAGGCACAAAATGGATGCCATGCCACCCATGGTTCACCTCCACATGTTGGATCAAGACATCTCCACCACTGGCCTCCTGAATATCCACTGGTTCTTCATAGGAGAGCCTGCCCCCACCCACACCTGAAAGGTGGCTGGCAAAGAAGTGAGTGGCAAATCAGAAGTGGCAGTGAGAGCAATCTAAATCTAAATGACAAAATGATGAAAATAAAAAATACTGAGCAAAAAATCAATGCAAAAGGAAAAGGAAAAGTGACTGCCAAAGAATGACTGAAGTGAATTGGAGGTGCCACTCATAGGCATTCTTGGTCCACACCAGCTCTGAGGTGAAGTGCTTTGCGAAGCTGGGAAGCTGAAGATCCAAATAGATATCAAATGGCTGCAGAATCTAGCAGTAGTTGGCTTCAGACTCTGGCAGTATTCTGGCAGGATTCCACAAGTTTCTGGCAGGGTTCCATAAGTTTCTGGCAGGATTCCATAAGATTCTGGCAGGGTTCCATAAGTTTTTGGTGGAATTGCTACAGCTAGACTCTCGCAGTATACAGCTAGATTCATCTGATTTCATGTGATATACAGCCAGGTTCTTGCAGATGTCTCAAACTACCCAACCAGATTCTGGTTGGTATCAGGTCAGTTCCTGAAAAGCATTGGCGTCTTGGGGGTATATCTGATATCAATCCTATCTATCTGAGATGTCAATTCCCATCCTATTTATTTCTGTCACCAGTCCCCACTCACTGCCCAAGCGCCCTGGTTGTGGCACCTGGCCTGGCTGGTTTACATACATTCATTGGCTGTAACCAGTTGAAGCATCAGCAGTAGTTCTTCAACCAAATGAAGTGGTGGGGGGGAGGGGTCACACATAGCAGCTGTTAGTTTCTCACACATCGTTTTGCCTGTGTGTCTCCTTGGTATGAGTCATGTCCTGTGCTTCAACAGGATGGATTTGAACCATATGAGCCATGGTGGCTCATGCATACAGCTATCTAGCTAGCTAACACCACAAACATGAGTCACAGATGAACTGATACTCTGGAGGGCGCCTGCCCACTTGAAACTCCACAAGAGCCAGCTGTCCAATTGAGACTGTCAAGCAACAAATTTCCAATGATTGTTAATACTAATATCATTTGATGCTAGCCTATTAAAGATCAGACACTGGGATGTGGGCACAGCACCTGTCGCCATAGAAGCCATGGCTGCTTTAGCCACAGCCCAAAAGTACAAACATGTGCCAATCAATCCGGCCACTGGCTACCCATGGACCAATGCTGTTTGATGAGGAGTAGTAGCAGTCAGTCAGTAATAAGTTGTCAGTATAGCACCAAATATTGAGATAACATAGTATTAATATTATATGTGTTTACTGTTACTGTTGGCCAAACAGTCATATGATGTCCAGCACATGGTCACTCCACCAGTCAGCAGCTTCACTCACCCCATCAGAGCGCCTTAGTTTGGCCAAGGAAAGTGATAGATCTCTGTTTTGTGTGAAAGGGTGTTCCCTGTTTATGGGTTTGAATTTGACAGGGGTTCAAACAATAAGTTCACCCATGTCATGTCATGACCTGACTACTATTTGGTGTTTTAAGGTTTTGATGGCACAACCCAAGTTACTTACAGTGGTACCATTGGAGTGCAACCTAGTGGCTGTGAGAAAAGGTTGTACCACTCAGTCTTTCTTTTGCCCCTTGCCCCTACCCCTTCCTTTGCTTTGCTTGGAACTAGCCAACTTCTCCATGGCCAGTTTCTGCGCTTTCTGTGCCTCTTCCACTTGCTGTGGACTTGGCAAAGCAGGTGCTCCTGCCCAGTTAGAGTTTGCACAATCAGACCAACACCAAGCCCTTCAATACTAAGTACCAGGCGTTCATTTAATATATATATGTTGTAGGATCTGATCTAGTCTATATATTGGTGGTGAAGGCTTGAGTTTGAATTTGTAGGCCTTGCACACCCAAAAACACACACACACACACTGCTGCTCACACAAACACGTGTCCTTCTTCAAACAATTTGCTGACCTCATCCTTGCTTTGCTGTGCTGCAGCTTTGGCTTTGGCCTGGGCAAGAATGCCAAGCAACCAGAACATCAAGAGTGAGAAGCCAGGTATTTGGTAAGTAAGTTGCCTTAGCACATGGTCTTGGTTTGTAAACAGGGGCCCTCAAATGAATTAGTTACAGCACATCAAGCTATTAATATTGTTTTGTTTAGTTTGCAATGCCACACACCACCAATGACCCCCTGCTGCCTCTTGCTCTTCCTACCATGCCTGTCTATTGGCTTCCTCCTCATGCTTTATTGCCTCAATTACTTCCTTCTTGCTTTGTTTGAGCTCTTCATCTTCCTTGGCATCTCTAATGGCCAGGTGCAGCTGGCCCAGGTCTTCTTCCAGCTTCTTGCTCCCTACAGCATGAATCTCCTGGAGCAAATTGTCAACCTGTTCTTGAATCTGGCCAAGGCCTTGGCCTGCCTTCAACTGTGCAATCATGTCCTGGATGGCTGTCTTCAAAATGGACTCCTTTTCCTCATGCAGCCTATCTCTTGCTCCAGCCTCTTTTCTTCATCCTCCTCAACCTCACCACTCTCCTTATCATCTTCATGCGCAGCCTCACCCTTTCCCTCCATACCATCAGCTTCACTATATGCAGCCTGCAGCTCCTGGGGCTTCTCCTTCTGTGATCTCTCTTCCTCCTCCTTTCTAGCCTCATCTTCAAGCCTCTTCCTTTCCTCTGCATTCATGGCTTCTTTCTCCTGCCTTTGCATCTCTCTTTCTGCTTCCCTCTCCCTGCCCTGCCCCTTCCTCAGCCTCTCCTCCTCTGTAGCCTTTGCATCAAGCCTGGTCTGTTCTGCTTCACCCTCCTCTTTGAGCCTCTTCTCCTCTGCAGTCTGTTTCTGAAGCATCTTCTTTTCTGCTTCAGCCATCGTCTCCAGCTCCTTCCTCAGCCTCTCCTCCTCTGCAGCCTCTGCAGCC